CTGCTAGTTTAATACAACAATACTCAAATTAAATGCTATTTGACTGGGTGAATAAATCTACAAATATTAGAGCAAATCTGCGATAAAATGTGCAGATACTGATAGTCACTTGATATGCTAATATCAGCCGATATTATCGGTTGGCGGCTTAATCGGTCGAGCTGTAAATTATAGGTCTATTACACTGTGTAGGTGATTCCTCTGTAAGTAAAATAAACAACTCACTGCACCACTTTATGTGTGTGTTTTACTGCTGACTGCAAAACAAATTGCCCTCTTGCAGGGATAATAAAGACAACCTTGAACCTTGAACCTTGAACTGTTTGTGCCATGTGATGCTCTACGTGCCTGTGGACTTGCTGTAATCTTTGTGCATGATAGGGCTTGCTGTTATCGTTTCTCATCACAGGGTAAAGACGTGCCAGCTCAGGAGGTTTAGACCCAGATGAAATACATGCTGTATCTTGTCTGAAACCACACAGATTTTCACTTTTGATGAAGAGATTGGTCCCTTTCCTTTTGGATTTAGATATCGTTTGATCTTGTTGAAGTCATATTATCTGAGTGCAACTTATATTTGAAATGAATAAACGCTGCTTCTTAGTAGTGAGTTTCTTTGACGGGAGTTAAGCTGTCTCTGTTTCCTGTGTAATTCATCTGTGATCTTATTTCTAGCTTTCTGCAGTTAAAAAAACTATAATGACAAGCAGCAAGGCACAACATATAAGAATATTCAAATACTGCTGTAAATCCTCAACTAAAGCTGACATTGAAGTAGATACCCATATGTAGTTTATAGTTTCTACTCTGATACTGAGTAAGTCCCTCTGACGTTTAAACCAGCTTGTCTGTTTACCCCACTCTGAATATTTCTGTGTCTGTAACTGCTAAGGCATTAGATGCAGATGACAGCAATTCCAGCTTACCTGTGATTATTGTGACTGTATATAAACTGCTCTTCTTCAGACAAATCAGGAATAAATGACGTAGAAATCCACATTCGCCACCTCAGACATCTTTAAAATAATCAGTAAAATACTGTGCTGTGCTGATTTTTCAGCAGCTTCTCTGCTAACATTAACTTTCTTAGACAGGAGCACCTTTTTTATGTAGATCTTTAAAATACAAAACATACATCGTTTACTGATGGTTTTACATGATTTGATAAACAAAGTCGATCTCTTCACTTCAGCTCTTGCAACCAAGAGTGCAAAAAATGCATGATGTTAACATGGATTACTGTCTAAATGAAATCAATCAATCACTTTACAGTTGGTTGTATGCTAACTCTGCATGGGCAGGTTTTTCTGAGCAGGTGTGGTAAGTCCCAACCTTAATCTCAGACTGAACTTACTCACCACCACTTTGTTGTTTTGCCTTGCATGCTACCCTGCTGTTTCCACTGAACCTTATTGGAAGGCCTTGCAGACAGTACCATTATAACACTAATATCATGACTTAGGGTGCTTTCACACTTGAACAATTTAGAGAAGTTGTTCGGAAACAGGGGACGATTCCTCCAAGGCCCAGTTCGTTTGAACATATGTGAAAACAGCAATCGCACTCTGATGCAAGACAAAAAAAGTAAGCAGAGATCACTTAGAAGAGGTGGTCTTGGCTTGTGCCAAATGAAACCCTGGTGTGTTTTGATTGCAATGAGAACACAATCAACACAACAACCTGAACAAATAGCTTGACTGGTTGACTCATCGCCCTCCAGTAGCCGTAGTAGTGATAGAAGTAGTTGTCTAGTATGTGCAGTCAATCATATGTCTACGATGCAATTTTGATTACAGCTGATAATCAGCATAGAAATAGTAATAAGTTAACAATACTCAATATCTCACTGTTACTTCACTTCCAATGCAATATCATGAAACCAATATCAAACAGCGCCTTGACAATTGTGTACCTGTCCATTCTCCTGTCACTAAAAAGTCTACTGCCAATCTCAGGCTCTACAGAGAAAAAAAAAGAAAGAGAGAAAATAAGTGATCTTGATTATTTTATTTCTCCTGTAAATATTTTCCCCATCCCTGGTCTCGGTCGTACTTACCCTGTCATTTTATAGGACAAAGTAATAGGTTTAAACTGCAGCTTTACTGGCTGGCGGAGTCATACATCTGTTAAGCAGTCATTTTAGTGTAAAGGCTAATGCTAGGGAATCACTGTGTGCTGCAATGATTTTTAAGTTGCTATCAAAGTGAAGACTGGTCAGTGTCTCTGTGATCTCTGCAGAGCTGAAATGTAGGATGAAATGTACGTTGTCATCTGTGAGTCCTATAATGAATTGGTTTCCTGCTGTGTTTCATAGTGTGGGTGGGCTCATGCATCATAATTCAACCCATCAATTGATATTTTAGAGAATAAAACAAGACGATACGATATGATACGTTCATTACGACACATTATGATATGATTTCCCCTTGGGGAAATTTGTCTTGCTCTGCACCCAATCAGCTGCCTCCACAGTCATTAATTCAGTAAAACAACAAAACAAACAACAATCCACATCTAAACAGAGAAACAAGTGCCAATTAAAAACGAGATTGCACATTGCCCATTCCGCACAAGATTGCATAATAACACAGCATACATGGGAGGAAAGATAAAAAAACACTATGCTGCTACAAAGCCTCAGCTTTAAAAAAAAATCATTGAAATTCATTATTTTTCAACAAAAAGTGCACCATTGTAATGACTTTCAGCTTTTTCTGACCTTAGGAACTATTTTATAGTTCGAGGATCTGTTGGAACCCTCCCTCTCTTTTAGAGGTTCCACACCACACTACAGGAACTATGAACTATTTTAGTTCCTAGAACCCCATTTAGAGGAACCTTTTTAGTTCCTGCTTCAGAGTAGGTACCATGCTGGTACGAAGGCAGACAGAAAAAAAGTCCCCATGTTGTGAAGTTCTCAGGGAACTCCCTTGTGGATAGTTCCTCTTCAAAAAGTCCCCAGAACTGTTTGGTCAAAAAAAACCCTTATGTTTGTTTTGTTTAGACCCTGGTTAACTACAGTAAGTTGGACACCAAGCACGATGATAAAGGATCTAGCTCCATCATAAACTCTACTAAACATTTTCCCGATGGAAACAAGTTCAGATAGAAATAACTTATTATGCTCAGTATTCCACCAAACAAAGCATCAAAAACACTGTGCCACTGGCACAAAACACAATCTAAAGTGAATATAATGTGTATGGTAGTGTTTATTGGAAGGTTGATATGTGAAGTTACAAGGGTTATTTTTGTGCTTGTCAGTGATAGTGAAATGTTGGATTGAAAAATGGAAAATAAATCCAAAAGATGACTCGCTATTTCTTTCAACAAACCACAAATTTGTAGTCATGGCAGTTAGATATCAGGAATATGTCAAATCTGTCTCTACTTGCATACAGGCACAGGACAAGACAGGTACTGACTGCAGAAAAAATAAGATCTTCCTCATACCTGAGATCTTGTAAATCCAAATGTGTGTCCATATTTCAATGAAATTGCCCATTGGGAGCTGAACAGTATGCAAACTGTTCTACTTTTCTATGCTTTTGGTGAGAGAAACCAAAGCTTTCTTTATGCCTGCTTTCACTTTATTGGAAAGAATTGTTGCAAAGCTGTAATGATTTTTCGGTTTTAATGATGGACTCAGCTAATTAAAATGTATGTGAATCTTTGTTTTGCTTTAATGACATTAAATGAAAGTATGGACCAATAATTCTGTTTGATTTGTTGTTGGTGGATTGTTTAGCTTCCCATTAGAGTAAGCTTTTTTTCATTGTTTCTCACAGATGGCAGCATTTCCACTCTTTCTCATTTGCATAGAGTTGGATCAAAGTACGTGAATGCCTAATGACAACACCTTGTTACTAAACATTTGATGTAAAATTATGGACTTTGGAAAACATTTTTATTCAAAATGTTATGCAAAATAAATTGAGAGGATCTGGGAAACATGGCTGGTTTAACACTTTCTCTCCATTGCAGGGAGCAGGACTCAGTCCCCTGCAGCACTGCCTCTGGCTTGGCGCATTAATAAACCTATTTGGCAGTGCATGTTGAAACTGGATAAGGACCATGTACTAGTCTCTGCTCATGGTCTTCTGTGCTGCTCTCTGGGCTGTAATACCGTTTTTTATGCTAATGCATAATTTAATTCCATTCCTCAGCAAGCGAGGACAACTGTCTGAAATAACAGCGTAATATAATTCATTAATACAGAGGAGATCTGGTTAACATAAAACACATTAAAGCCCAATCACAGTTTTTCCTGCTTTCAAGAGAATAATCATATCCAACCTGACACTCTTCTTTGTGTCTATGGTGTCATTTTCCAACGACCACTTATCAAAATTGCATTATTCAAATGACATGCAGAAATTCTTTGAAAGCTCTCACGACAATGTTCAGTTCCTCTTCATCTTATCTCCCGTGATTTCCTTTCTTCTAGTCTCGGGAGCCTCTGGCGCTGTGTGACCTGAAAGCAGAAGTCTCCCCCAGGATCTCAGCCGAGGACTTAATCGACCTCTGTGATCTGTCTTTGTCCGGGCCCACGAAGAGGACCAAAATCGGCAAGCCCAAAATCATAGCTGTGGACATCCGCAGTCTAGAGGAGTATCCTTACTACATCTTTTAACATGTAAAATATACCTTCCATTTCAACAGTTCTTCTTATAACGATGATATTTCATTATTCTAATATGTTGTTTAAACTTTCCCTGCCAAGACTCGCCAGGAAATGGTACAAATAGACCTGAGCTTGTTTGGACAAGCTTGGATTGAGTCCAACAAAGAAAAACAACAAATGCTCTGCTGAGATTTTTGATCGCATTACTAAAATATGTGTTATTGGCAGGCACAGATAAGATTGCTTTCAGAAGCTTTTACTCCAGTAAAGACGCTCCAACATGCAGCTTTTGTGTTACATAAGCTTTGTAAACATTCTGTTTAACACTTCCTCCCAACCCATAGTGGATATGTGAAAGACATGAACTCTTAAGCAAGCTGTGGGTAAAGGAGCACTTCAGAAGAACTACTTGCACAATAGTATGAGCAAAAGTATTTACTCAGGGTAGCCATGGGAACAACATGGCTGCGGTTTTTGAAAGTATACTGTGAGAACCATCACATTTAAAGAAACATACTTAAAGAGTACAGCTTCTTTTTTAAGTCCAGCACGTAAGAAGATGAAACAGTTTAACTTTGGGTTTTGGAGTGGAGGTCAGTATAATAAATATCCAGGGACAAAATGAACATTGGATACACCTTATATGTGTCCTTTGTGTGTCCAACCTCTCAAACAATAATCCACTTTATTATAACTTTCAGAAATACTGCTTCACCTCTCTTCTTTGTCTCTGCTCATTCTCCCAAATAAAGCAGAGTGTTTATTGTAAGGTCCAAGTCATTAGATGCATGCCAGGTCTCTGTTAAATCTGTGACTCGTGCATCTCTGAAAGAACGCAGTTAATTTTTACATAAATGGCTCTAAAATCTGTCTGACATTTTAAACCAATCTTTTTATTGGTGATAATGACAAATGCTTTCATTTATGATTTGCTCATCTGCACAAGGTCAACGATTCATGAAAGCACATAGCATTTGCTTTTTTGCACATGTGGTTAGAGTGTGAAAAGACCTCGGTGGCAAGGAGAGACACTGTATTGTTTTAGTTTGGGGATTAGAGTCGATGCTTTCAAACAGCCTCTGACACTGATATTTTTATTACACCTGGCTAACAAACACAAACACAAACACACTCCGCTGCTTTGAGTTTTTTCTCTCCTGTTTCAATCAAGGCCCATCAGTAAACCAAACCGTTTCTTGTAGGATCCGAGTCAAAATCCTTAAGTGTATGCCTTTCATTATTTTTAACAAAACAGAACCTTTTTGGCCCAGTTATGTCAAGACTTCAATATTTATACCCTGTCTGTGAAATCCTCTTTGAATCACTGATAAATATACATGTATCAAATAATTCATGAGAAAGAATGACACAAGTTAAAAAGGGTCATGAAACACAGAATCAAAAATTGTACACAGTTGCAGTCTGAATACAGGACAACCTTTGTCATTATCTCTCTGTGCCTCTAATCTCTTGCTTACCTCTTGACCAATGTTTTGCAAAGGTTTGAAATTGAACTTAAAGCCACGAGAGCAAAAACCGCACAGTTCCCATCGAATGCAAGTAGTGGCAGATTCGGGGTGGATGATCTGCTTCAGTTATCTGCTGCCAGATTTGGCATCACTCAGTATGGCCCTACTTATCCTCCCAGGCGGCCCCTCCACACAGAGCAGTCTGAGATTTGGATGGTAAAGAAGTTTAGCCTGTAAAACCAAAATTTTTGATCGCATTACTAAAATATGTGTTATTGGCAGGCACAGATAAGGTTGCTTTCAGAAGCTTTTACTCCAGTAAAGACGCTCCAACATGCAGCTTTTGTGTTACATAAGCTTTGTAAACATTCTGTTTAACACTTCCTCCCAACCCATAGTGGATATGTGAAAGACATGAACTCTTAAGCAAGCTGTGGGTAAAGGAGCACTTCAGAAGAACTACTTGCACAATAGTATGAGCAAAAGTATTTACTCACGGGTAGCCATGGGAACAACATGGCTGCGGTTTTTGAAAGTATACTGTGAGAACCATCACATTTAAAGAAACATACTTAAAGAGTACAGCTTCTTTTTTAAGTCCAGCACGTAAGAAGATGAAACAGTTTAACTTTGGGTTTTGGAGTGGAGGTCAGTATAATAAATATCCAGGGACAAAATGAACATTGGATACACCTTATATGTGTCCTTTGTGTGTCCAACCTCTCAAACAATAATCCACTTTATTATAACTTTCAGAAATACTGCTTCACCTCTCTTCTTTGTCTCTGCTCATTCTCCCAAATAAAGCAGAGTGTTTATTGTAAGGTCCAAGTCATTAGATGCATGCCAGGTCTCTGTTAAATCTGTGACTCGTGCATCTCTGAAAGAACGCAGTTAATTTTTACATAAATGGCTCTAAAATCTGTCTGACATTTTAAACCAATCTTTTTATTGGTGATAATGACAAATGCTTTCATTTATGATTTGCTCATCTGCACAAGGTCAACGATTCATGAAAGCACATAGCATTTGCTTTTTTGCACATGTGGTTAGAGTGTGAAAAGACCTCGGTGGCAAGGAGAGACACTGTATTGTTTTAGTTTGGGGATTAGAGTCGATGCTTTCAAACAGCCTCTGACACTGATATTTTTATTACACCTGGCTAACAAACACAAACACAAACACACTCCGCTGCTTTGAGTTTTTTCTCTCCTGTTTCAATCAAGGCCCATCAGTAAACCAAACCGTTTCTTGTAGGATCCGAGTCAAAATCCTTAAGTGTATGCCTTTTATTATTTTTAACAAAACAGAACCTTTTTGGCCCAGTTATGTCAAGACTTCAATATTTATACCCTGTCTGTGAAATCCTCTTTGAATCACTGATAAATATACATGTATCAAATAATTCATGAGAAAGAATGACACAAGTTAAAAAGGGTCATGAAACAAAGAATCAAAAATTGTACACAATTGCAGTCTGAATACAGGACAACCTTTGTCATTATCTCTCTGTGCCTCTAATCTCTTGCTTACCTCTTGACCAATGTTTTGCAAAGGTTTGAAATTGAACTTAAAGCCACGAGAGCAAAAACCGCATAGTTCCCATCGAATGCAAGTAGTGGCAGATTCGGGGTGGATGATCTGCTTCAGTTATCTGCTGCCAGATTTGGCATCACTCAGTAAGGCCCTACTTATCCTCCCAGGCGGCCCCTCCACGCAGAGCAGTCTGAGATTTGGATGGTAAAGAAGTTTAGCCTGTAAAACCAAAATGCATGCTTTTTACTTTTTTGACTACCCCTTAGTTTTCTCTTGAGCTTGTTCATTGTTGCTGTTGTTTTTACCCCTCAGAGAATTCTGTAATCTTGTCATTGTTTAAACTGTCTGCGTATGTAACACTACATTATTTTGCAGCTGTATACTCAGAGATCTCTCTAATCAAAAGAACAATTTAAAAAGTTGTGGGACAAGATGAGATTCTAAATCATCTGACTTTAAAGCTGTTTTTCCTTAACTTAAGAAAAGTTAAAGTGGGAGTTTCAGGACAGTAATAGCACACATTCAGTTGGTGGAGAAAGAGCAGCTCTCTTATATAAACCAATTCTCTTGTAAGCCCCTTAGATTGAAAATTTAAGATTATAATGCTTGGTGCATTTAAAGGCCTCTTCATGCACCTTTTTAGCACTCTGCACGGAATCACAATTATGCTCAAGAATCTATTTCTCTTTTGCAGTTTTTTAAAGTAAGGACCAGGGCATATAGTGTTCCAAAAACATTGCCTTTACAAGAGGTCCTGAAGCAGTGAGCCTCAACCCCTCAGGTCGTTAGTGGAATGAGAACGATAATAAGAAGGGTTAAAGAGCCATTAATCAATAAGGATTAGTGATTATAGCGGGGAATTCCTTCCTGGACTGGAGCCTCCTGATAGACAGAGGCTCCTCAGGCAAACTCTCATGCACGAAAGGGATTTGACCACTTTCACAGGATTTGGCAACCTTTGTTCACCTTTATTATGATCCCAGGCAAAGCTGTGTTGTGGGTGTCTGCGGTCACGAAAGTGGATTAGATTAAGACCTTTGTGAAATAATCAGGCCAATCTAGATTTAGCTGTGAAGGTATTCAGCGATTCATCTCGGTCGTGAAACAACTGGCATGTGCCTCTCGTAGTTCATCGGCGGATTCTACTCCAATGGGATTGAGGGCTATACACTGGATTATGTAATATACTGACTCTAAATGTTCTTGTGGCACTCGATGTGATTTAGTGAACACTGTGATTTTACAGAGAAGGAGCTGAGCACCACTTATCGTAAAGTATGAAGCCATAATGGCAATAGTTACACTCGAAGGAACAGGACAATCTCCTTTTCGCCAGAGCTATCTTTCAATTATATAACACTGTCCCTGTGCTGATACTATCCCTCACCAAGGCCTTTTTTACTCTCTTTCCTTTTCTCCTTTTCTTTTCTCTTGATTTCTTTTTCATTATGTACCCTTTATCTTTTTCTTTATTCTCCTTTCCTCACGACTGCTTTAACAGCCAGTTTTTCCCTGCTTTCTCAAAGCTCGCCTTACGTACTGTTTGAATTAGGACTCGGTTTGATAAGCTGTATAATACGCTCTCTAATAACGGTATCATTGTGCAGGCTTGATATAGTTTCCTCCCGTCTGTTGCATATCTGTCATTCCAGGATATATTTGGTTCCTATGAATTTTCGAGGTATAGCTCAATTTAAAAAAAAAAAAAAAAAAAAAAAAGGTTCCATGTCATTATTTCACCCCGGTCCCAGTCAGTGAAAGCTCTGCTCCTTAACCCCCGCTGTCCCTAGCTTCAGCAGAGGCCATATATCCGGCAGCATCAACATCCCCTTCAGCTCAGCGTTCGGCGCTGACAGCGAGCTGCTGCAGTGTCCTGCGACAGGAACCCTCCAGAACTACAGAGGACGAGTCATCGTGGTCATTAGTCACGTCATGAAGAGTGCTGCTGTGGTGAGAGGGCACACACACTCACACAAAACATACACACACACCTGTGTGCAGCACAGCCATACACACACAGTATTTAATCACTGAATGTTTTTACTCTGATATATATATATATATATATATATATATATATATATATATATATATATATACCAAAGATTTGCATTGTATTGGTTTCTATTGAGATATTACAAGCTCTTCGTTGTGTTGTCAAGGTCAGTGCTTTTTCTGTGAGACAATGTAATCAGCTTTAATGATATCTCTGGCAGGCGTAAAGTGGTACCATTATTGTTTGAATGTGCCTTGGATATTGAGTTTGAGTTATGTATTCAAGTTATTTATCATCATTGACAGAAAAGAGAGGGGGGGCAGTAGTTAAAGCAGATTTAGATAAACAAGGGTAACATTATACTTCCTGGTGTTGTGAAAGTGCCCCATGCTGCTTCTTAATCCATAAGCTCCCTCCCTGTTTATTGATGCATTTTTAAACCAAGCAAGCACCACTGCACCATGTGGGCGGGTTTGACTCAGACGGAATTATCAAACTGTTTCCTGCATAGTCACTATTTAATGATAAATACAGATTAAAAGACAGTATATACTAACTTTTTTCCTCCCGCTTTTATTCCAGCATCACCTCGTGGTTGAAGTGTTCTCAGTAAAATACCTCAACACATCTGGGTGTGTAAAGTGCCAACAGGGTATCCCGTGCACTGTGTAAACACGTTCTCAGGTGCGCTCCGTTAGGGGAACATTTTATAAACATTTTTTCAATTATTTGAATTCATTATATAGAATCATCCTCTACAAATTAATAAGTGCTATGTCATGGTTATGATCAACTACCTGCAAAACTGATGACACTACTGCACTTATCTAATCTCCTACTGTAAATGGTAAATGGACTTGAGCTTATATAGCGCTTTTCTAGTCTCCCGACTGCTCAAAGCGCTTTTACACCACATGTCACACCCACCCTTTTGTACGCTTTCACACACTGATGGTAGTGATCGCTATGTAGTATCATCCATCAGAAGTAACTAATCCATTCATACACCACCACTGAAGCAATTCAAGGTTAAGTGTCTTGCCCAAGGACACAACGGACATGTTGTCTAACCCTAACCCTTCAGCATGGACAAGATAAACTAGCAGGTCCAAAGTCTACCTGCAGAATATGTGAAATGTATCGTTGTCTTTTTGATGTGTATAATGAGGTTTACTATTTAGCTGGACCTTAAAGTTTAACATTGGTGTTACCCCAGAAAGGAAATATAATGGGTGTCAATTAGCCTATCGGGCATTTGATTTTTTCCTGAAACCTCTGACTTCACATCTAGCGCCATTATTAAGTCAAACCTTCTTCATTTCAAAGCTTTCACATGACGTCACGCATTCAGCTGAAAGTCACCAGATAACATGGTCACTCTTTAAACCGTAACACCAGCAGGGACTTCTCCGTTTGTAGTGATATCAAATAGTGTCCCATTTGTTGTATGAGGGTCGCAAGAGCCCAAAACTCACAATTTATTTTAATAGCGCTGTTAACTTCGGTTGTCAGGTGATATAAACATGTGTCGTTTATAGTAAATTTTAGAATATAATGGCCGTGCTGCAGTTCTACAATGTTTTCAATGGTAACCACTATTTTCCTGAGCACTTTTTGCCATCCGTGCTGGTCACGTGACTGAAAGCTATGAATTACATGCAAACCTAGAGGCTAATTCTAGCATACTAATATGCTAACGAGATCCCATGAATCCTAAACATTTTAACATGGTCATTATAAGCATGTTTGCCAGTTAGCATTCAGCTAAAAGCTCTACTGTGCCCTTACGGTAGTATGTCCTAAAAAGACACCGTCCCCATGGAGTGGTTATAGACCGAGGACAATATTTAAAATGCAATGTCTCCTGCTAGCTTAGTCCATGTATGTCCAGCAATGCAATAGAGCTAGGTGAGGAGGAATATTGGAGGGTGTGCTTATATACAATTATGAGCCAGTCGCCTCACTCGTTTCCTTCTCTTTTGAGCTAAATCATAAAATCTGTACAAACATTAGCTCTGCAATGGAGAATGATTTTTTTTCTGTTAATATTAGGAAAAAGAGATTAATGATCCATGTGTTAGACATTTCCCACATAAAATGACTGATTACCAATTGAGAGCAGACCCACTAGATGTGTGCTCATGTGTTTGGCTTAATTTTGCCTGATACCTGGTGTTGCATGTACTTAAATCATTGTACATACATGGGGCAGCTGTGCATAATGGAACTGGACTCTGATTCAACATATCTTCAATGAGGATTTGCCAATGAATCACTATATATGTCCTGTTGCATTAATAGTGATTTAATGTAAAGAAGGAACAGGTTTACTGTACAGCCTAAATCAGCATATCCACTCAATTGGTGTACATTTCCTGTTTTTCTTTTTTTATGACTATTTGGCTAATTCTACACATTTCAAATAAAGTCATTACTTTTAGGGTGTAAAAAAAAAAAAATCCCCAGAATGGGAGCAGAATAAATCACACACAATTTGGGGACATCTATTCTTAGCAAATTTCTAAGATAGATTTCCTAACAAAAAAACCCACCACTTGCTTAGCGCCTGGAATGAATTCACCTGCTATCTGTTTGAGCCTCTTCTTTCACATGTTCACCATGCAATGTGCCTCGCACCCAAATACTAAACAAAGAAGAAAATGGAATTTTTAAGGTCAGGAAATATATCATGTTTGTACCGGTACTGGTGCTGGGACTGAAGCAGGGAACCTTCTCGTGCTAACATGAAAGATTTTGCTAAGACACTAATCCTCCATATCCAGGCCTCTGTCTTTCAAAATCCACAGCAGCGTGGAGAAAACCCTGAAAATCTTGAGGTAGACAGAAGTCTTTGTGCAAATGAAAACAATTGGCTCATTAAACAGCTCCTCTGCGCCAGGTTTTCTTTGGTAAAATACTCTTAAGATCTCTGTGGTTTAGGCTAACGAGTCTGTTGTACGGTGTGGCAAAATAAAAGCGACTCTGTCTTTGGCCTTTCTCTAAAAGACCCCAGGACCTAAGCAGAGGCTGAGACTGTGTTTTACATGAATCATTCATTGTCTTTGACATTTCAGTGCACAGAAATAACTTTGCTCCTTTCAGCATAACAGAACGAAGAAGCATATTGATCATTATAAATTCCACTTTTGTGCTCTCCTTAGAATAAATTAGCCAGTCTTAAATTTAAAAACTCAGCAGGGATGTGGCTTCAGGCAACATCTCAATTTAGAAAAGATGTCCTCCTTCCATATGTTGGAATGAAAAAGAGCAAAATCACGAGCTCTTCCTAATTGAAGAGACGGTCCTGAATATTTATGGACGAAGCAGCGTGGGCTCAGTTTCGAACCAGGTTGCGAGAAATGTTCAAGAATTTTTTGCAAAATAAAGGACGACTTCCTTTGCAGAAAAAGTTGAAAAAGTTATTTTTAACTTTTTATGGCTTGATTCATGATTAGGATCTAATCAGGGATCTACTGCAAATCATGTCTTTTGTGTCTTTGAAATCATTAATACAGAAATCATCATTTTTAGTTTAAGCAGAGGTACAAAATCAGCTTTATAACACAGGCGTAGGTCAAATTATTTTAAGATTCTGTGTTTTGCAAGAAGCCTATTGGTCCACTCCAGGTTAAAGAGAACACTAACACCTGAACCACACCAAACCTGGCAAACCCTCCACACTCAAAGATTTATGATAGAGCTCAGTGACGTGGAGCAGGTGGCAAAATTAAAGGTCGATAAAAAAAAGATTCAATTGTGCTTAAATGTCATTCACATCGCAGCAGTGGTATTTTCATTAGTGCACTCACAGTGGGTTCAGGCTTCATTGAAATCCTTTCATTTTTATTATAACCTATTGGCATTTAAGGCGCGTGTGCGCACGTGTATTCTCAACAGCACTCACTTCACACACTGCATGCAGAAACTGACATTCATTCAGATTTCATAACAGCTGTTGTGTAAGATGAAATCTAACAGTTGGATACAGATGTTTCAGCATCAGATTTCTTCACACTGACATATAAAAACCACACAAACGTCAAACAAAGGCAATGTGTTGCTAAACCAAAGTTAAATAGGACGTCAAACAACAGTGACCCTATCACTTAGGGCGGGGCAATCAATCAAAAAAAATTGAAACCGACATTTAGAACCTCTAACCGACGTTAATCTTTTTGTTAAAACATTTTGTCTTTAGGGAAGACGATACCGAACAAAAAGAAGTTAAATGTACACACTGCGGAAAAACTGTTTGCAAGAAATGCAAGTTATTCATTTTCTACTGTTTTAGAGAAGTTCATTTCTAATTTAAAACTAAAATGTGTCGTTTTCATTTCAAGCTATTCTTCGATTTCAGTTCGAAATATTTAATTGATTACCACAAAATAGTTAATCAGATATGCACCCTTTCATTAGAAGAATCATCCCAGCTTTAATAGTTGAGCATATTTACAGTAGAGACCATTTCAGTGAACTATGAGGGCAAAAAACAAAATAATCATTCATTAATCGTCATTGAGGTAAAATGTTCAATTAATCGTGATGTTGATTTGAGTTCATATCGCCCAGACCTACTATCACTGACTAAGAGACAGCAGATCAGCTGCAAGGAGACAACACGCTCTGCTGTCATTGTGAGTTCTGTGCAGAAATACAAGACTTTTTCCTTCTGTGATTTTGAAAAAAAAAGCCCCAATTACTGAAGTCTAATGGAAAGAGCAAAATGACCCCTCATTCTAAAGAAAGAAAGAAAGATTGAGAAGTGTTTTTAGCCAAATGTGTAATTTCCTGCTACAACATAATTACACTCAGAAGAACCTGGATAGATAGACAGAAAAAACATTCAGAAAAATATACCTTTAGCATTCATACAGTACCTTTCTCTACTAACAACCGTCATCTCCTTTGTTTTTGGTGTTTGTGTGTGTGTGTGTGTGTGTGTGTGTGTGTGTGTGTTTGTGTGGAGCTTGTATTTATATTTTAATATATTTATGTTTTTATATATCCTTTGTTTTAGCAGAGAAGATTTGTGATGCTCGTGACTAGTGATGCCCCGCAGCAATACGTTGAAAGACACAACAAAACAAACATTTTAACACGGTTAAAAGTATTCCAGAGACATTCATAAACATGTGCTCATTCTTGCAAACGCATGCCTTGTTGCATAAGTCACATTTTGAATCAATTGCATTTACTTTCAGTCAGTAAATTAGTCACTAGCTCTTCAGAAGTGTTACAAGAGAGGACACCTGTCATGTGAAAACATGATGAGTGCAGCATTACTAAGAGCAGTCTTTGACCATTTCGTCATACAACTTAAAGTTGCCAAGCCTTGGGATTAATAATTGCATGGTTTGAAGTGTTTGTAGACAAGAGAGTAGTCAAGTAAGAAGAGATTTTACCAACGAGTGCCCTGTACATTAACATGAAACTGTGTTTAAAATTCAACTGCTATTAAACAAAAAAATAGCAGCAGGTACAAATGAGAGCAAATGCCTCTTCATCACAGGCAGTCTGTACCGTCTGCGAGAGGGGAGAGGACTAAACTCTGCATAGAGAGGGTGATCTGGGCTCTGCAGGAGGAAAGTCGCCTTTCTGACCACCTGCCTGCTGTAGTACTTTAACCAATCTACCAAGTCTACCGGGGAATAGCACACGGGAAATTAGCCACAGGTCAGATTCAAACCCGCGGCATAGCATCTGTACAAGGGGCGTTTGCACACTCACAGGCGCCCCCACATGTCCAATCTTGTGCAAATAAATTGCATTGAATTGAAACTAACTGTCAGAGGAGTGTTAATAAAAAAAAATTGCAACTGTAAAGAGTGTTTTATTGGATTGAGTGCATTTTAATTGATTGTGCCGAGTGACTACAGAGGGCAGGTATTCTTTATACGACAAACACAAGTGTCATCTGCATTACCTGGAGTTTTTACTTAATACTAAATAATGCAATGTCGAAATTAAATCTCACTTTCTCTCGCACAGTCAAAGGCGTGTGTTTTGTGTCATATGTCTCTGTACATATAAGATATTTGACAAGTTTTGAAATGCATTTCACATAGTACATGTCAGTCCTCACATATTGTGGATGACTGTTATTGCAAAAAGATATGTGGAGTAAATCTCGTGTTTTGCAACTGCAGGAGGACACTGTAGTAACTCCAAGATCACAGAAACCATCTGAGTCACCTGAGGTGAAAATCACTTGTCAATTTCTCTATTTTTTCCAGTTTGCATCCCACCTGGTGAAGGTCAATTTCCCACGGGTTTGTATCCTGGATGGAGGGATCAACAAGCTGAAGCCCACTGGACTCTTGACCGTCCCCTCCCCTCAGATCTGAGCCCATACGTCAGCTCCACATAAACAAAAGGGATGAGCGGAAAGACTGGAAATTGTCATTAGCTGAATTTGAAAAGGGGAACAAAAACAGTCTTGTCACTTTACTGATACATTTAACGCAATGTTTAAAGAACTATTGTGCAAATTAAATCCAATTTGATTTGTTAAACTAACATGCCTAACAGAGCATTTGTTGTTGTTTTTCTGTCTTAAAACAAGAATGAATTTTTTTTTTTCCTGGATTAATTGCCATGTGTTGTTGTAGCCTCATACTGAAACTGATCTGTCTGTGACCAATAATGCACTGTCTGTTATAATGTCTGTTCTGAGCCAGTTGATCATTAGAAATGTGTTAAATACTCAGCAGCTACACAAGTACAAATCAAACTGTACTGCCTTTAAGTCTATGTCATGATGTCTGTTATGTGCATTTTTTTTTTAACACTGTCAGAGAGGTGTTCATTTAAAACCATGTCTTTGCATAATTAATGCTATAGTTAAATGAACTGACTGCATTGCATTAAAGGTATTGCTGATACCAAGCTCCCCTCGTGTGTAAACAGAGAATAAGAACTAACAAAGAAGCAATGCAGAAACATTATATCATGCATTTTCTATTCTATCATTCATTTATGATACGATATGATTTTACCATTTTTGACAATTGAGACAAATACTGAACATTAAAGACTTTGTGCAGTAATAATTTGTGAGAGCTGGTGTAGTTTGTCATAGATTAAACGGGTGAACCAATGAATAAATAGGCAGCTAAGTTTTACAGTATATGTGAGAAACAACAACAATAAGACACAGTGATTTCTGCACAATGTTTTTGGTGGCTTCTTACCGGTAAGCATTAGTTGCATCACAAGAAACTTTCACAGCAGCAAGATCTTCTGTATTGACTAATGTTTGGGCGGCAGTAGCTCAGACTGTAGGGACTTGGGTTTGGAGCCAAAGTGTTGCCAGTTCAAGTCCAGGTGTGGACCGAAGTATGGAAGTTGGTCTGGTAGCTGGAGAGGTGCCAGGTCACTTCCCGCGCAATGCCGAGGTGACTTTGAGCAAGGCAGTGCACTCCCTACAGATTTGGCAAGGTCCTTTAGTAGCAGCCCCACTCTGACATCTCTCCACTAATGCATGTCCACAAGTCCTATTTGTGCATGTGTGTATTTCAGGCCTGTGTGTGTGAGAAGCCTGTCTCTCTCTCTGTCAATAACAGAGTGTAAAACCAGGATTTCCCTCAGGGATTAATAAATTAAATTAAAAATCCAATCACATTTTAAGAAATTGTTTAATATCATGTCACATAGTGTATAATTGAAACATAATTTTTTCTTTGTTTTTAATTAAAACATATACATTTTATCGTTGAGTGTGATGATTTCACATGAAGCTGTTGAAAAAAAAGTTCTGTTTTTTTTTTCTGCACCACCATAGGATGTGCCAATCTGCATCGAATCTTGTGGTTTGGCAAAGTTGGAAATTGTTTGTACATGTTCAACAATCCCTCAAGGACACTCCCACTAGAGTCTATTTAAAAAAGAAGTCAGTGGGGAATCATTAATCATAAGAGCAAGTCATCAAAGGAACTTCTTGGCTTCATTCGCAGGTAAGACAGGTGTAAGACATGTATTTTAATTTTTCAGGAATGACTGGAGTATATAACTGGGAGAAGACTATTGTGAATATTTTATTGCCTCTTTCATTGTTTCCAGATCCAGCAGTTTTGCCCTCAGGCTCATCAGGTGATTATCAATTTAATACTTTTGTTTTTAACTCCTCAACATTGTTCTGCTTTCCAGAGTGAAAATGGTGAAATATCAGGTGACCATAACCACTGGCAGTATCGCTGGTGCTTCCACTTTTAACCATATCTTCATTAAGCTGGTGGGGACAGATGGGGAGAGTGATCGCAGTTGGCTCATAAACTTCAAAGGGGCTTTAGCCTTCACCCCTGGAGCAGTAAGTCTGAAATATTTGTTATGTTTAAAATGCACAACATGCTTCTTCAACTTTTCCTCCTTAAGACAATCACCCCTTTAATACCAATTTAGTGAATCTGATGGCAATCCTCAGCTTGGTTGTCTTTTGTTGGTAGTTTCAGAGCTTTTCTCTCATTTTCCAGGTGTCTTCTTTTTCCATCTGCAACTCTGCCTCTATTGGAAAGCTAGTCCTGATAGAGCTGACAAACAGCGTCTCCCGCTTTTTCCTGAAGACAGTTGGTTCCCTACCAAGGTGGAAGTGAAATCGCCTGAGGGAGACACCTACAACTTCCCTGTCTACCGCTGGATCACTGACAGTGCGGTGTACCGCTTCAGAGAGGGAAGAGGTTAGTGGGCACTTGCTTGTCTTACATAAGCAGCTAACTGACTACACCAAACATTAAGTAAAGATCAGTTCTGCCACCTACAGACCAAGAAGGCTAAAGTAGATGTATGTATTTTATGCCAACATGGTATTTTGAGACTATTTGAAATCTTGATGTGTTTCTTGCTTTAAGCTCTGACAGTCTTTGATGACACCCATCATCTTGGCAAGTACAGTCGACAGCAGGAGCTAAAGCAGCGAGAGGACGATTACCGGTGAGAGCTTTGAGATTATACATATTCAAGTTTTACGCATCCTGGTAGTGATATTAATCCAAACCTGCTCAACATCTTGTTGAATATGTTAATTATAATTATTTACAAATGACTTTTTGACACTGATGACCCTGCCAGAGGTTTACTTGGATACAGTGTTAAACTATTTACTTGCAGCAGTCTCCTTTTATTGCTAATGTGTAAACAGATTGTCACATGTTTTTAAAAAAGAAAGCTTCCCATCCTCCTCTGTTGTCTACAACAGTCTGTCGGGTGATTTCTATGTAAAGCACTTAGTTTACATCTTACAGAGGGACAAAAATGAAGTCTATGCATGTTAGCCTACCTTGTGTCTCTTCAGCAAACAGTTAGCAGCGTCAGCTTTCTTTAGCTTAGGACGTCTTGCTGCTGCCAACAACACTGAGCAATGCGTCCAAAAAAAGTATTTTATTGAGATAAGCCTTTCTTGGACAACAAGGTTAAGATACTGGAAATAGGTAGTTGTAGAGAATCCATTTATTAAGGCAAGACCAGTTCTTGAACCGATATCTGTTCGCTGGTTAACCTCTGTAGTCACACGAGCCGGTACAGCTGTGTCCACAGTGGGGCGCCAAAATCCACATAAACTGAAAGTTCCTCTCAGGAGCTCGAATGTCTTATTTTTCTCATTATTTGTCTCATTAAAGTGATTGACGATAAAGTAGTTTGAAAAATCATTGAGAGACCAATGCACACCAATACAAATTTGAGTAAGTGCAAGCAAGCTAACTTTAGCCTGCTTGCTTTCTCCTGTTGTTGATTGCAAATTATAATCATAGTTGTATGTTACTAAGCTAAGATAGATAGGCATGGATATTAACCAGGATGAAATATTTGACTGTACAGGGCAAAAGTGTCAAATTAATGTGAGGCTGGTCAATCACTTATTACATTGCGTCAAGTAGGTTTTTCGGCCAGTTCCCAGAATGCTTGTGCATGCTAATGGAGCGCAGGAGTGGGCTAACTACAGTTCACTGAGCAGCCACGGGTGATACAACAATGATTTTCTTACTCAACAAAGTTTATTGAAAATGTAGTATCCTAGAACCATGCACTACAATTGCAATTTGGAGAAATATGTGTCATGTCTACAACGCATTCATACTCTAAATTAAACTGCAGCTACACTACTGTTTTAAATACAAAAGCTTTCTAACTTTGATCTCTCTGTTTTCCTCAGCTGGGATGTGTATAAAGAAGGAATACCCCATTGTATGAAAGCAGACAACCCTCTCTCTCTGCCTTGTGAGGTCCGCTTCTCCTTCACCAAGACCTCAGAGTTTTTATTCACTGCAGCCTCAGGGTGAAGTCCTCAGATTCTGTCCAAGATCTATTCATAGAAGCATGAACCTGCCTCACCTACATGAAGTCAGGAAATGACTTAAAACATTGTAATTAGAATGTTCTTTACTTTTATTTCCAAGACTGACTGAGCTGCAACTTAATGGATTGGCTCGTTGCGAAAAGAACTGGACTGATATTGAGGACATTGAACGGGTGTTCTGCTGCAAGCGGACTGCCATATCAGGTAATAAGGGGAGTGCAATAGAGTACTTGTTATGCATGTTAAGACATTCAGCTGTGTTCTTTGTATATTTAACTGTATTCCATTATGCTACTGAAGGAGTATCACAATTGTTTACATTCCTGAGGAAAGCCATAGGTTTCATTGAATACTGAATGGACTATTGGCCTCTTTATTTGACTCTTTATTTGACTCTTTATTTGACTTTATTTGACTCTTTATTTGACTCTATTTGACTCTTTATTTGACTCTTTATTTGACTCTTTATTTGACTCTATTTGACTCTTTATTTGACTCTTTATTTGACTCTTTATTTGCTGTTTCTTGACATGAGCAAGTTTCCGTATAACATGCTTTGCTCGTCTGACTTTGCATGTAATCAAAATTCTGTATGAAAACTCAATAGCAAACAATTTGAACCAGTGACCAATCATGTTTGCAGGAAAACAGCTATTTCCTCTTTTCTAATTCACAAGTGGTGAACAGTTAAACTTATAATCATGGTTTTTTAGCGAGATTTTTTGTCTATACGTTTGGAAATCTTTGAAGCTCAGCTCTTCTATTTCCAGACTATGTGCAGGAACATTGGAAAGAGGACGCCTTTTTCGGCTACCAGTTCCTCAATGGGATCAACCCCATGCTAATCCGACGCTGTTCAGTCCTACCGGAGAATTTCCCTGTCACTGATGGCATGGTCCGCCTCCCTGATCAATGTAGCTTGGAAGATGAAATGAAGGTGATTGTTTTGACATTTTTTATCTTATTATTAGAATATTGTTTTGCCCCATGACATGTTAAATGTGAAACTTGTATGCTACATTTATTTTGGGTAATATTCACATCAAGTCATTTCCCATCCTCTCTTTAATTTCATATAGAAAGGAAACATATACCTGTGTGACTACAAGCGCTTGGATGGAGTGGAGGCAAACATCATCAACGGGAAGAAGCAGTACTTGATGGCTCCCCTCGTCCTGCTCCACAAAACACCTGAGGACAAGATGATGCCAATCGCTATCCAGGTAAAATATTAAATTAAATAAAATTAATTAAAGCCAATAATAAAGCTGCAACTTAAAGAATTGGTTATTATTTTAACGGTAAGAGGCAGGTTTACATGCAAACAGGACGTGTTCACATGATAAAATAACGAATGTATTAAAAGTCCTGCCCACATCTTAGAGCTAATCTATGGAGAAAAAAAAAATACACGTTTGCATGTTTGAAATATTTATTGCAGCAGTTGTAGCGTGTACATAGTTTGAATTTGGCGTTTAGGCTCCGACCTCATCACAGGATGTAGATTTATTTCAAAACCAGAAATTGAGAAGTGATGACATAATATCTTAAAACCCTGGTCAGAACCTTTAGGTGGATGCTGGGGTGGTAGAGCAGAGGGAGAGACCAGAAACCGGTCTATTGGTAGGATGTGTGTGATTTGAGATTGTGAGAATGGCTCCTGTTAGTGTGCGAGTAAAGAGTCAAAGTCGCAAAAAAACTTAAATGCTTCTTCGTTTTGTTGACAGGCAAAACAGACAAACAGACAGACAGACAGATATT